TGTTTTTATTTTTTCTTCCGTGGCCCTAATCCTCTTCCGTAGAGTACACACACACATTTAACTGGAAGTGATAAACAGAATCGATTCGTGCAGATCCTTGCTGGGTGGTGTGCATGAGAGCAAAGCCGAACAGGACCGCCATTTCCCGTCCTTAGAGGTCTTTTTTTGTGTGTCTTTCATAGAGCCTTGATAGCTGGGCAGCAGGGACAATATAGAAGGAAGAAGGAGGAGAGGAGGAGCGGCGACGGCGACGACTTGCGGAGCGGCGGAGGCAGGGAACCGGTGTGCTTCTTCGGGATGAGAGCAAGGCAGTGCCAACGAATTAACCTCAGTTTCTCTGCTTTATTAAATTCTAAATGAATTTGAACTGATTTAACCAAAATAGGCCTAACCGATATATGTTTTCTATATTTATTGCTGTCAGGTTCCGCTTCCCTTTATATTCCGCCCTCCCCTGGTCCGCTGCTGCCATAGCCTAGTTTTGATTTTTCTTTCCTCCGAGCGAGGTGGGGAAAAAGGCAAAGGAGGAGGTGGAGATTCCATTTCATTTTTTTAATCAGTTGTGGGGGACAAAAAAGAAAATCTAAGATCAGAAGACAAAGCCATTCGGGCTTGAGATTTTTTGGGGAGTCTTTTGTTTCGTTGAATAAAGCGAAGATGTCGGGACAGAGCATTACGGACAGGATAACGGCAGCCCAGCACAGTGTAACGGGATCCGCGGTGTCCAAAACAGTATGCAAGGCCACCACGCACGAAATAATGGGCCCAAAGAAGAAACATTTGGACTGTAAGTATTTCTGGACAGTCTGCTTATGGTTAGAAGTTGAGAGCTGCTCCTCAGTTAGAGTTATGGCGAAGCTAGGAGAAGGCCTCAAAGCCTCACTGGAGGCTACGTGCTAGCAAATGCTGCTCATGAAAGGGAGATTAAATTGTTTTCACAGGGACCACAGGCCTTGTTGACATACTTATGATGGGTATTTGAATAGTCTTGACGCTGTAGCAGGCTCTATCAACGCCTAATAAGTGTTTCTCTCTTATTTCATCACCTTAGTTAACAAATTAGCTTGTCATGCTATCTGGGTTTGTCTATAGTATTTAACCCTATAGCTCAAGCGTTGCATCTTTAAAGAACTGACTTAAATGTTTCTACGCTCTTAAAAATGTAAAAAATCAGATTTAAGTCATTTAAAGGCTTGCTGAATGGTAAAACATGAAATGCTAAAGCTCTGAAGCTGGAGTTAGCATGCGACTCAGTGATTTCAGCAGGGATATTATACCTTTTTTAGGCAACAGTATATGTACCGTTTTTTATACCAGGTTTTGTCAGAAAAATAACTTTGTGATATGAATATTGGGTTTGCAAATACAACAATTTAAATGTAAAATTTGTTTAAGTTGTACACATACTTCTGAAATCTATCTGTCTCTGCCTAGTTTGCATACTTTTGGCAAATCATATCTTTTAGCAAGTTTTTCCTTTTGAATTAGACAAAAAAATTTCCATTTATTTCAAAGCTTAATTAGAAATGATCAGAGATTCCTGAAGCAGTAAAAATGGCATTCTATTTGGAAAGTAAAAGGTTAGAATATCCAGATGGTTTACTGATTACTGTTTATCCAAGTTGTTTTTTCCTATGCGACTATACCTGACTTTCAACTTATTTAAGAATAAGCCCCATTTTAACACAATTTATTTCCATAGACGAAAACGCCCAAATTATCCTTGTATAGCTTTAAAAAAAGTTTGCTTGTCTTTTGGGGTTGGAACCACCCCATTGAATTTGGTCATATCAGGTGTAATATTGTCCCCATTGGACTGGAAACTTTAAATCCTTACTTTTGCGCTTAATAACAGGATTTCATTACAGGAAGAAGGAAAGCGGTGTCACTATCTATCTTTTCTTTAAAATCACATTCAATATACATACAATCATATTTATGTGTTATACAAATGACCATTTAATCTTAGCAGTTGGGCTTTGCCTAAGGTTGTTTGTGCAATCAAAGATGATTAATTTGGTCCCAACAGCCCATGTAGCTGCACTTTATTTTCTATGCATGGTCACTGTTTAAGTTTTTGTTTAAAACGTCTTGCTTTTTTATAGATATTGATAACATCTACAGAGCTGTAGGTATCAACAACCTTAAGCTGCACAGGAAAAGTTTATTTTGAACCATGTCTCCGTTAACGACTCTTTCATACTTTGTTCTTACATGTTTATAACTTGTGCCTTCATTAACATTATGTGTTTAAGTTAAAAGTGCTATTGGGGGGCTCTAGGCTAGTGTTTCCGATCTTTTTTGCGTTTGTGTACCCCTTCCGACATTTAATCTTACCATGGGTATCCCTCTCAGTCAGAAGTATCTATTGTCCAAAAGTGAAATGTACAATAACTGATTATAGAATAAAAACTCTTTTAATTAATCTTTTAATTTAGAGTATTTAAGTCTTAGGCATTCTAATCATTCCGTCTCAAGTAAAAATAAAAAAGTATGTTGTGTGGAAGTAAGGAATCGAAATAAATATGACAAAATCATATTATCAACCTGTATTTATAAAACGGGAGTTCCTCTGACAAACTCCATTATAATCAGATTTAAATTTGATGAATTGGGAACAAAATACTAAACAAAAATTTTAGTCAGATTGACTTAATTGGTTTTACTTTATTTTCATCAAGACACCTGAGCTGCTTTGATGAGCTCAGTAGCTTACTGTGAAATAACGCTGATACGAGGCTGTTGTCTTCTTCCAGCCTGTTCCTCTACCTTGTTGTGGTGAACTCAAAAATATAAGAAAAACTTACTTTGTTGTTGATAAAAGCTTGTTTAATTTTTCAATTGGGTCTTCACATAAAACAGACCCCAGCCCTATTTTATTTTACTACCTAAGAAATAAAAATATATTTCATGTAGTCCTTGCAACGCACTCGCGGACCTCTAGTGGTACACATACTCCCGGTCGGGAATCACTGCTCAAGGCCACCAGAGGACAAAGATTATAAAGTGTGTCAGCTGGAGGTGCCGTTGGTTTAAATGTATGTTATGACTGAACTGATTATAAAGCAGAATATTCTATCAAACAGTCTATTTAGTTATCTCTTGGCTCAATATTGTTTTAAATGCAAAGGACAACAAACTTGAGGATGGTCAAAATAAAAGGGAGATAGTTGGTGCAATGAAGCGTTGAACAGAAGATCTCTTCTATTGATTTTTCTAGTAAATTGTATAAACTTAAATATTACAATTGAAACCTGCCTGAACCGAATACATGAGGATCCATTAGTTTTCTTCACCAGGACAACAATGAGAATGTGAATTTGAATATATTGGGAGCCTGGTTTGGCTTGTAGATGTTTACTATAGTTTTGGTTGTGATGCATTTTCCTCACTTTCTATGTCCCATCATATTGTCACACTGGTTTATTAGTGTCACAGAATTAGCTTTTCCTTAAATAAACTTTCTTGATTGAATACATGGTGGAATAGGATAAAGAATTTTAAATATGAAGGTGGTTTTAAGCTACTAAAGATGCCATCCCAAACTGTAATGTGCCCTACTGACTCTACATCAAACCTGCCACCTTATACCTCTAATTGGATGAAATCCAGAATATCATATCCAAATAATTGCTACCTGAACAAATCAACCATCAAGTGTATTTCTGTACAATGTTAGAAGATTTAAAGAACTTCAAAGTATGGAATACAACCCGCATGAGTTGATGTAGAATAAGATGCAGAATTTAACCATCAAATATGTGGTTTGATTTTGTTTTGGTTGCCTCACATAAGACATTTTTCTTTAGGGTACGATCAGTGTTTACTTCTAATGATGTTTTAAGGCAATTTGCCTTTTAATACCTGTGGGTGGACTTTAAACGAGTAAAAATGAACTTTAGGAACTGTGGAGCAAAACATTGCATTGATTAGATCTTTTTAAAAAAATACATTTCAATTTACAGATCTTTTACCCATGGCTCAAGTAAATGCACTGAATTGTGGGTAACATGAAACCAGATGTGTTTTTTATTTTTTTATTGTGTAACTATCTAGATTTGTTAGAATTCTTTCTCATACAGATCATGAAAAGAAAACCTAGCAATGGTACCGGGGCTAAACTTAGGAAGTCAGTACTTTTAATCCTTTTCTCCATATCGATTCTTACTAGCAAATGCAGTGATGGTAATAAAGGTGGTTTTGTTGGAGGCCCAGTGCGATGGTTAAAGTTCAGTCACAATGAAGGCTGTGTGTTATGTCAGAATGCAGACTCATCACTGTGCTTTGTGGACTAAAACAGCTGAAAAGTGGTTCTTTGAGCTGATTATTATGGTTATTGTGTTGCTTATATTTGACTTTGTGTTAAATGTTGCAGGTGTTTGTGCTGTCGAAGTGACTCTTGTGTTGTGGGACGACTGAAAGTTGAAAGAATGACACTCTGGGTTATTCTAAGGCAGCCAACAGCCTGGTGTGACCGGGACTGTGCTTTGTTCTTTTCTTTTTATTTATGATGACGCAGTATGGATGCTGGTTTGTTGCTGTGGCAGCCCAGGTGAACTTAAGAAAAGTTTAAATCGTTCTTATCATGGAGTTTGTGATCTGGCAAAGGAAAAACAGTCCCACAATTGTGTGAATGAGGAAATGATTTTATCATACTGTTAATAGTCCCAAACAAAGCAGCGTTAATCATTATCAGTTGTTTTGAAACATTTTCCCCAGTTAATAGTTCAATTAAAAAAATTGACAAATGTAAAAATTAAGGTAAAGGAATCTTATGAAAATTTTGAGTTATGTTTTTGGTTATTATATTTCTAATGCACGTTGATAATTAGAAATATTGTTTTTGAATCTCAGACTTCAGTGCAAAAAACAGAAATGAAATAACATAACATGCACTAGTAGTTGGTTATGGGTTCTTGTGGTTATTTTTTATTTTTTTAGATATGTTGGGACTAGTGGAAAGTTTCCTTTTTGTACCATAAAAGATAATAAATTGATAAAGCAACCCGTTTTTAACTGGGTCTAGAAGTTTATAAAGTCAATATATCAATATAAAGTCATAATTTCTTATCATTTGACTTAAATATTAACTTGTCATATGCCACCAACCTGGTCAGAGTTCTCAAATGTGTAAAGACTTTGGTTAAAACTATTTTATTGACTGAAACAAAGGAAGGTTAGTTAGAAGCCAAATGGAGGGAAGAAAGAAAGACCAGGGTTTCCACGGATCATTAAAAATTATTAAGTCATTAAATAATTATTTTTTAAATTAATGTCTGAAATGCATTAAAATTCATTAAATGTGGTGCTTTATTTAGGATAAAAAAGTTTATAAAAACTATTAAACATTATATATATATTTGCAAATATATTGCGATATATTTGCACAGAACTGCTTCCGGTTGATCGTAAAGTCGTATGTTTGGAAAAGAAGCTCGCTGTGGAGAAAAGGCTAGAGAATGAGGAAAATGCTGATTTCAACAAAAGTGGCTGGAAATTGAGGAATTGCAGCCTAGCGACGGAAAACATGAAGAAGGAATTTGCCGTGTATATATGAGAGTCATGGGTATTTGTTGATGGCATTAAAATGATTTCTAAGAGCATTCAAAGAGCATTAAAAATCATTAAATTAGAGTTAATCATTCCTGTATAAACCCTGAAGAAAGAAAGAAAGAAGGGGGGGGGCTAAATAGAGCAACATTTAAGGCTTTGGTTGAGAATGTTCTGGACCAGAAATTCACAAACATTTGACTTTTATTTTTATATTATGACATTGTGCATACTGTGTAGTCCTTTCAGTTTAGTTGTATAATCAGTACTAGGAAGACGCTTTTCTGTTTTTTGTATTTTGTGTCACTGGTTGTCTTTCGTAATTAATTACTGGATTGGAAGACATGCAGCAAATGAATCTGGGCAGAATATTGAACAAGACACAGGAGCTTTAAAGACTGTAGTCTTAATCTATAGTGTTTCTTGTGTTGTTTGCCAGGAAGGTTTGTGACTGGTAGTCCTTGTTTATGGTGTATGCACCAAAAGCAATCACTGAAACTGTGTGGTTTACATTTCCTTTTTTTTTATTAATATAAAGAATATGCTTAGGTTAAATTATATAGTGATAGATGATGCATAAATGTATGCATTACATGAGTGACTGAGTTTTAGAGGGCTGTCTAACATGCTGTACACCATTATTTACTCATAAATAAGTGTGGGTATCTAGAGGCTTACGTATGTATACTAACAATGTCTTCACATATACAGAACTTTAACATGCAAAACGAATGTCCTGCGTCACTAAACCAAGGAGCTGGAAACAGGTGTTTCTGCACTGAATATGAGACAATATGGCTTGTTGCTTATTTCTGTCCAGTATATTTTTCTCAAAATAATAGCATTTTAAAACTAGTTTAAACTAAAACTTATATTGGAGGCGGTAGAGGCTGAACTCTGGTCAAAGTTTGGTTCAGGTTGAGGAGCTGCCTGATGAACAATCATTTAAACAGGCTATGAATCAGAGGCAAAGATGCATGATGTCAGTTTTGGCTCCTGATCAGCGATGATACCCTGACCTGTTCATGATTAGTGTTGCTGGGGGATAAGTTAATGTTATAAAAATGCCGTTGTATAATTCACTCTAGCTGAGTGTTATGACACCTTAATCACAAAATCCTACGTGTCTGTGCCTTCATGTTTTGGCATCATGGTGAGGAACATTTAGCCTATTTTCCCATCAAACTAAGGGCCGTTTGGACCAAAGTGAGGGCTTTTTTCATGGTTAAGTTTGTTCTTATTTTTAGGTCAAGTTTAGGACAAAAGTGTGAATTGAGTTTGCGTTTGGTATCCACTGGTGATTGTTTGGTTTAGTTATTTTTCAGGGTTAGGGCAAAGAAAGGTTGAACTTGACTGAAAATCAGTGGAATCAAGGAGAATGTTTGCATAACAATTTAGTGTTCTGCATGATGAATGCACTTTTTAACATACCGACTCCTTGACTTGATTGGACCTGTACAAAATATTCAGCCCTGTAATGGAGACACTCAGCGTGACAGTATCACACTTTGGTACTGTTGCATAAATTAATTTGAATGTTGTAAATTAAGTCATGTTGAAATAATTAATGTTAATGACTGTAGTTACTTTGTGGGCTGATTATACTGACCCTCCTTATCATCCTCCTCCTGGCTTCTCCATCATCCACCTCTTTGGGCATTTTCAGCCAGCAATGCTAACCGCTACTACTGCTGCTTCTCTAGAAGGTTATTCTGTCCTACTTCTAGTCCCCCGCCTTTGAAAAAGTCAAATATAGGACAGAAGGGGAGGCCCACATACTCAGTCAGTCTGATCAGCGCCGTGAATGGCAGGGTCATCTGAGCAGCTGTAGCCTGGCTGTTCAAACTATAACCATGAAAGCAAAGGGAAGTGGGCCAGAACATGAGTGGTTAACATCCTAATGCTGTGCACTCACTGGTGCCCTGCTAAGAGACACAGCGTCACCAACAGCCATTATAATTAGCATTAGCGGCTTCAGATGCTGCGCTACATGATTGCACTGATATAAGATCTTTAAAATTAATTCAATAATAAGTTGCTTAAATGTTTTGTATTAAGGATAAAAGTAGCATCATTACGGACCCTGATCAAAGGCTGTAAGTTTATGCTCACTTGTGTGTTACACATTTCCAATGACTGTCACGTTATAGAAGATTTTTAGTTTGCTTTATGGCTCCCTCCAGGTTTGCATTCCTGGAAACGGATTAGAAACTATCTTAAATCTATAAGATAACAAATGAAACCATTAGCAGATAGGCGTTATTTTTCTGAATATGGAAAGTATTCTCTAAAACAGATAGTTGGCCTTAGATGGTATAAAATAAGTTGTTAGATTATATCATTTTAAGTCCCTGTGGAACAGCAGGCACTGTGCTAATGCCTCAGATGTATTTGTTTTTTAAACAGGAGCTGTTATTATCAAAGCTCAGTAAAAGCCCAGATGGTTTTATTTTGCATTCTCTAGTTTGTTTATATTTGGCCAAAATTCTGCAGTGCCGGTTCACAAATGTGAATCATAAATTAAAGAGTGAACCAAACAAATCACTTATGTTTTAAAAGGATTTTAAAGGCTTAAAAATGACACTATAATTCAAAATCCTGGCCATTGTCAAAAAATACTGTCATTAAATTCTTAAAATCTATTAATTTACCCCTTATTGTAAACATCCTTTTTTATAATCATTAGTATTGCAGCACAGCAACATTATCTGTTTTATTAAACAGCTGCTGAATTACAAACCTTACATGGCTCAAGACCTAAAAGGTCAGCACTTTTTGCTTTTATCCTATAAACTCAAAAACTTTTTGTAATTTGGAACCAATGTTGTTTTAATTGTAGTCACAGAAAACACAGCATTCAGTCAAGTGAGTATAAATCTAAACTGGGTGTATGCATGTCATTGCAGATTAGATAGAATATCAGGCACCAACCCCTTGAATCCACCCTTTCCTTCAGTCAAAAAAAGGGTGGAGCCACTATCTGTACCACCAACATTTTCAAGTCCGATGTGAAGGCTGCACACGGATCATCCACAATATCACTACAAACATTCCTTTTCAACCATTTAATAGGGGTTTGTAAAAAGAATATTGTTCCTGCAGCACATTAAATACCAGACAATGCTAAATTTATTAAAATGAATACAGTAAAGAATGGTTTATAATGTTTCTACTGTTAGATGACCTTAAAGAGCACATGTAATGTAAACACAATCAGACAGCTTAGATATTGTGCTTTATTGACTAAAATAGATTATATTTTTGTATAACACTAATTACATTCCTTATAAATTTAAAAAGTAAATTTCTGAATGGGAAAATGCGTTTGTCTGTAGTTGGAAATCTAATGATACAAAACAATGTATGTAAGGAATAGGAAGTAAGAAAGGCTTGTATAAAAAAAACTAAATGGGTTAAATCATCTTTGAGTAGATTTGCTTCTCTGTATGCCTTATGAATTTTCAAAATAAAGGCTGCACAATTTTAGGAACGCTTGTGAGAATTTAGTTGAATATTGCAATAAGGACCTGTTAAAAAAATAAATAAAAATTACCCAATTATTCTGACCTCTTTTAGCATTTGGTTCTTGCAAACATAGATAACGAGTAGTTTATGTGGGAATTGAGAGGAAAGAAAAAAATAAACCGTTTTTTCTTAATTACCTGCATGCTTTCATTGGAAATAGTTGCAGCTGCTCTTCAAATTTGGGCAATTTTTGACTTGTATCAATTTAGGCTTCTTGATGCACATTTTTGATTATGTTGGTAATTTATCAACCTATGGGATGTTATTTTGATTAATCATGATCAGTCAGATGAATTATTTCAACCCTAATTTAAACCCTCCCGAATAGTTTTCATCAGCAATAAACAGCGGGTATCACTAAATGTATTTACTGGCCAAGAGTCCAAATGCATTAAGGTACTGATTTAATTATCTAATATATAAAAATTTCCAAGCAGCGTAATGTGATAATTATATTGCATAAAAGCATTCTGTGGCATTGTACGGCCGGGTTGGCACACTATGGAAGGCCATCAAATGCATTTAGTTCACATTTTCTCACAAAGATTTAAGAAACCTTCTGATAATGATGTAAACTGACCTTAAGTATTCTTTTTGTTTAGAGTTTTATGTTTAATTTCTGCTTACTATAACTTAACTCTATGCAGAAAATGGTGAGAATACATTCTGTGCATGTTCAATACTGAATGGAGTTTAGAACCACTGTGTGATGCATATTAAACAAGGAGAGATTCATGGAATCAGACAGCAGTCTTAGTTTAATGTGCTTTTAATCTTTTGACATGTGAATTTTCTTCTTCAGATCTGATCCACTGCACCAACGAGATGAACGTGAACATTCCCCAACTGGCTGACTCTTTATTCGAGAGGACCACCAACACCAGCTGGGTGGTTGTGTTTAAGTCGCTGATCACCACACACCACCTCATGGTGTACGGCAATGAGGTGAAATGATTTAGCAGCTCTTGCTCTCATCATCATATAATATGGAGGATTTTGTCTTCAACTTCTTTTCTCCACTTACAGCGTTTTATCCAGTACTTGGCATCAAGGAATACACTTTTCAACCTTAGCAACTTTTTGGACAAGAGCGGGCTACAAGGTAACGATGCAACTGAAGTACTTTTTAAAAATATTTAAGTAAAAGGACCAGAAGAATAGAATAAAAGCTAATGATTGTTTTCTCCCTGCTGTGTGATGTCGCAGGTTATGACATGTCCACATTCATCAGGAGGTATAGTCGGTACCTAAACGAGAAAGCAGTGTCCTACAGACAGGTTGCCTTTGACTTCACAAAAGTTAAACGAGGGTAAGATTAAACTGGTTTCCTCTCTGATCAATGCAGGATCATTGCAAACCATGACCTGTAGCGATAAGCAATCACCAAATGAGTCGTATAATGAATAATAATCGCTTGAAGATTTGAAATGAGCTGGAATATTTCTATTTGCACGCCCAGTTTGTTTTCTCTCTCTCACTTCCAAAGAGACGAGATTACAAAAGGTTTCACTTTGATGCAATGATTCAAATTCCCCCTGCATTTATTTCCATTGCATAAATGCCATACCTCAGAATTTAGCATGATAGTCCAATGACTGAGTAGCAAGCCAGAGAAAGGCTAGTTGGGATTTTTTTGGGGGGGACACTTAACCTGATATGGTGATATGTCACATATTTTATGATGCAAACTAAATGTGGCAATAAAATAAATGTGCATCTACAACTAAAACATAATCATAACTCTTCAGTATCTACAACCTACAGCATGAGGCTGTCTGTCTTTCCAACAGTGTGTGATGAAGTGTTTTTAATTCAACAAAAAAAAAGGAAATGGGAAAAGGTCAGTGCAAAATGGCCCACACTCCGAGACTGCGTGATCTGACTAGTCACTGGAGAGATGTTGCCCTTTGCAACACATTTCTCAATGCTGGCGTTTTTGGTGATATCACACATCTGAAAGTATCCCAGAATACGATATGCCTGGGAAAACATGCGTCATATAAGTTGAGACATCAGCTTTTATTTAAATGAAGGGCTTTTCTTGTCAGTTTGAACATTTTGTTTATCGAGTAACTTTTTTTGAGCGTTTACTGAGACTTCATTATCTATTTTATCTATAGTTTTGGTTCTGTCTTGTTTTAACTTCCATTGTGTTTTTTATGGCGTTGTCCTCGTGTCACTTGATAATGGTCTCCAAACTGTTGGCCAGTAAGATATATCATCATGGCAGGTCTAGTTAAACAGACTCTTTCTCTATAGATGTTGAAACAAACTGGTTTCTTTTTTATTTAACAAAATATTTTTAATTTGTAAACTGAGGTTTTTCATTTGTTTTTATTCTGTTATGTCAAAAGATTTAATTTTGTTTGACAAACAATAAATTCCAGGTATTTTGACAGTAATATTAGATCTATCAAACTAATTAGAACATAAGTTGTCATTGTAAACTCCTAAAACAAAGGAAAGTGCTTTAGATCAATATCAGTATTTTACAAAAGGTGAATCAGGAATGGGCTACATCACACGTACATGCAAATTTTGTCCTTTGGCTACCTCTACTGCCAGTTCAGAGGCTGAGAGAGGAAATGGAGGAGAACAACTTCTCAGTTCTCTCCTCTGAGAGGAAAATGAATAACCAATGGGCTGTGTTCGCACTGGAGACAGTTGAGCAATGCTCAAAACTCTGTATTGGAGCTTTGCTTTACGTTGCAAAAAAGGCTATAGCCAGACTGTTAGCCCAATGTTATACCAGCAACTCTTAAGTAAACTGGAAACGGCAACATTAACTCAGCGATATTGATATGAATAATATGAAAGTCACAGGAAAAACTGCCAAGAAAGAAGACGGCAAAATCCTGAACAAACCTCTAAACATTTTTATGCCAAGTCCATGAAACTCCTTTAATATAACATTTTAGAAACTAGTTTTAATCTGTTTCAGCTACAAGCTGAACAGATGAAATGCTCATTTAAACCAGAGGATTATCTCTCCTACTCATTTCTTGCCTCCATCAGTGTTTTTGTAACCACCTCCCTTTATTTCTTTCGAGGTTAACTTTCATATGTTCAAGAAGACATAAGCCTTAAGGATTACATCCATAAATTGTTATAATAGTAATGGTAGTAGTTATAATGTATGGTGAGCAGACCTCTGATGTGTTACATTAATAGTGGTATCATGTCTCCACACAGTGTCGACGGTGTGATGAGGACCATGAATACAGAGAAGCTGCTCAAAACTATACCCATTATTCAGAACCAGATGGACGCCCTCCTCGATTTTAATGTGAGTTTGAACTGTAGCCTATGTTAATCTGGCAGTTTGTTTGGTTAAAAGCTGCTGAAGTTTCCAGGTCATATATGTTGTTTTTTAATACACCAACATTGCACATGGTTTGTATCTCAATAAATCACAGTGCAGCGTCTTTAATATAAATAGTCCTGTCCGAATGCCTTTCCTTAGGTCAATGCCAACGAGCTGACTAATGGAGTCATCAATGCAGCCTTCATGCTCCTCTTTAAAGACTCCATCAGGCTCTTTGCTGCTTATAACGAAGGCATTATCAACCTGCTCGGTGAGACCTTTAAAACCACTTTTTCTTTGACTCCATAAAGAATTTCCTCTGCTGCTTTATAATGCATGCCCTTCTTACAAAACAGAAAAGTACTTTGACATGAAGAAGACTCAGTGTAAAGAAGGCTTGGACATTTACAAAAAGTTCCTGACTCGCATGACCCGGATATCAGAATTCCTCAAAGTAGCTGAGGTAGATTAGACTTCATTTCACTCATAGAATCGCATTAAAAAAGCCCTACTCTTCATAAATATATACTTTTCTCTTAACAGCAGGTGGGAATTGACCGAGGTGACATCCCAGACCTTTCACAGGTAAGCTATAGCTTGTCAAATCAGAGTGCTAATCCCCCCCCCCCCCCCAAAAAAAAAAAAGCCATGCCTGGCTTTGCTTTTCTCATTTTGTTTTGTGCTGACAGAGCAGAGATTCACGCTAAGAGGGTATTCAATTGAGACACATGGATTTAGAGATGCACCGATCAGATACGCAGTTTTTGTCAAACCTTTTGCACCAGTAACCATTTTGGTGCACTCTAACGTTCTAAAAACTGTACTACAAAAAAATAATCAACTAAGATTCAAATTGTGTATTTCTATTCCTGCTGTGAATGATGATGCGTTGGTCATATCTGAGCCAATGTTTTCATCAGTAAATATGAACATATTTGATGTATGAAGCATTTTTTTATGGCAATAACAAGATAGGGACAAAATAACAATTCAATTCAGTTTCTTTATATAGCACCAATTCACAACACACGTCATCTCAAGGCGCTTTACAGTTCACCAGATCATACAGTCAAATTCATTCAAAGTTTTCTATCTAAGGAAAACCAGTTGATTGCATCGACTCATTGACTCGAATGCAATTCTTCACACTAGGCATGCTTGTAGCGACAGTGGAGAGGAAAATCTCCCTTTTAACAGGAAGAATGGCTCTCTGACTAAAACATGGTGAGATGTGCGTAGGTTTTTGTTGAGATAAAAATTTTAATAGGTGGTTTTTTTGAAAATAAAAATTGGTTGTATTTCTGTCTATTATGCATGTCACCAGTCAACAATAAGCTTTGGGCTGCATCATTTTCTTTTTTGGCCTCCTGAAAGCAGCCACTGCATATTAAAACCATAAGGTTTGTGTTGGGAAACCACTAAAGAACCTATAGGTAGGATTTAATTCTCATTCATTCAAAATACATTTTGTATGACACCAAAAGCATTGCAGCGACACGCAGCAAACTACTAAGGTTCGATTAACAAACCTTTGTGGGGAAGGTAAGACCCCAATAACTTAATGGGCAAGGTTTGCTTGGTTCTCTGTATTGGTTGCTCTAACATTAGCTCATTGATTTGTGTGTGTTGCATTTGAAAACACAGGAATTTATGGCTGGACAGCAAGTATAAAGTTCAGCAAAGTTTGCCTCCTTGTTTATGGCCTCTCAGCTTATTATGCTGTGTTTACCAGATCAGGTTATATGTACTCCATTGTTATAGGTAGTCTAGTAGCTTTAAGCTAAAAGCCATATAGCTAAAAGATATATGGTGACCAGATGTTTTGATTTCTGGGAACTGTCCCAGTTCTAGACCACTTATTCACAACACAAGCTGTCCCTGGTTTTAGTTTTTTTATGATTTCTTGCAGACCATTTTTATGATCACATGTAGGCGTCACAGAAACATTTCCATCTCCAATAGATGTCTGTCCCGTGATATGTTGAATGTGGATTTATTCATATTTGTTAGGCTGATCCTTACTGAGATCAATGCAGCAGAATTTTGATTTAACTGGTGAGTTGTGAGGTATATTTTCAAAATTAGCTATGACTGGTTTTTGATATTAATTGTGATTTGTGAACCATTATGCCAGTACCTCATTAAGGAGTCGATAAACGGAAAGCTGATTGTACCTCTATTCTCTCTAACAGAGAATAGAGGTATTATCATCCACATCAATGGCATTTCTTCTGTTGTATTGGCTCATAGCTCCAAGTTCAAAAAAATTCAGAAAGTTATCTTATAATACCTTATAATAACCTACTGTATATTTTGTCTAACTGATCTGTTTAAACACATAATTCGATGTAAATATATTCACATGTGTGCTCATATGTTTAAAGATATAATGAATATATTTAATTGTTTTGGGTTCACATGTTAACACATTATTGTACCTTGTATACCAATATAGAATACACACAAATTGTATACTTCCTTAAATCAGACTAAAATTTTGTTGAATAACTTTCACATTTGAGATGACTTGATTTTGGCTAAGCCTCATCTTCATCAAAAAGATTAAGACTTTTACTAAAACTGCACTGGCTACCAAAAACTAGACTGATTTGAGCAGAGATTACATAGTAGCCATAGAACTAGTCTGAATAATGTTTGAAATTAAAAACCAAAGGATGATGGGATTACCATTATACCAGGCTGTAGGATCATACATAGAGAATGGTTAACGCAGATCATTTTCCAGTAGGGTCAACTTAGTAAATATGATTGCTTTTAATAATGATTTAATAGCTTCAGACATTACACAAAATGACCTTTACTGACAACCATGATCTCATTTTTCATTTTGCTTGACCTCATAGCATTAAGATGGAATCCACAAGCAGACACTTCACCTTTGACCTAAGTTAACTGTACAATGTTGATAAAAGACATTTTAATATTGTTGCGAGGAACATTTATTGACCATATCCTTCTTTGTTACCAAGATTCAAACTGTCTGAATATTTTATTGGCATGCGACTTATAAATTCATCCCTATTTGAAATTATAGTAAATATTATCAATAATGCTGATACTATTATAATTGAGCACGGCGATTATTGCTATGATGATAAATTGTGCAGCCATTTGTTGGAACTTGTGGTGTTAAAAACTCCAGACTCTGTTTCTGACTTCCTTTTTAGCGTAAGCCGACACTTGTGCAAACAAGAGGGCTCATGGACGCTAGCCAAAGCAAAGAATTTACATCAGTAACCTAAAAAATATTTTCATAATAAAACACAGGATGTCTAAGAGGCTGGATATAGCATAACGGCAATAAAAACAGTGTGTCTACAGTAGGATGTAAATCATTATCATAGCTCTGACATTTCCAAATAGCTGCCAATATTTCCAAACATAACTTTTTTCCCCCCAATTTATAGGCACTTAAAGTTAGTTGTTAAAAAATTCCTTGTTCCTTTGAAATTACTTCTTCCGCTTCACTTTTAAACGCCTTTTCTGAAACTGACCTGAGAGGACTTTAATACAGAACCTTGTATCATATATTTTTGACCGGACTTTTAGGTTAACCTCGATTAAAATTAAAAACCATTACGTTTCTGTCACCAGTCAATTTCTCGGTGCATCTCTGATTTTGCATGTTTTTTCTTTTCGGACGCATGATGCTAAAGAGGGTATTTTTCCTCTTGTTGCTTCTGATTCTCCTTCGGCTCTTCTAACCCGTGTCTGCTTCAGTAAATAAAGGTGTTAAATCCACAATGTAGAAGAAATCAGCTCATGAACGCTGCACATTTGACAGTTTTATTTCCAATTTGAAGTAACATTAAGTAAAACTGCACTTGCATTTTCATAAATATTTTACCCAAAGAATTTGAGTTGAAATGCATTTCCCTCTGACTGTCACCACCTTTATATTCTGTATTTTCCCCCCTTATCTTTCCACTTTAGTTCACGGTTTGTGTAAGTACTGTTCTTTCACTCTTCTCTGTTCGTGACTTGCCTCAGTGTTGTCTCTATGCATGCCTCTGCTCTGACTCCTGTCTCCCACATCGTGGTGAAAAGCAGTTTAAGATAAAAAAAAATAGATAAACACCTGCTGTAATAAATTTAGTTTGACTTCGATCGTATCGTTGAGTTAAAACCCAGCGTAGCTCCTCTCCTGTTAAAAAAAAATGGCTGCCCTGTTATGCTTTAGACATGGCCGATTCAACAACAGCCGTGTTGTTGAAAGAGCTCTGGTGCAGAACATCATCCCACGCAGATTTTACTCTCATCCAAAGTAGCTTTTTGGCTGGATGCAGTCATTAATCAGTGGTTGGTGACTTATATCCTGGACCTGGTGTAATTCTCTTTTAAAAATCGGCTGATAATACGTCAAATTGTTTTTGCCGTATTTCACAGGGTTTTGTGTTTTCTGTTCCATCTTGGTTGCCCACCACTGTCTGTTATAGTGTTGATGTCCGTACATAAAACATCTTCCACGTCTCAAGTAGTTGCTGACACTGTGCTTTCTGTCATGACAGGCTCCTAGCAGCCTCCTGGAAGCCCTTGAGCAGCATTTGGCCTCTTTAGAGGGGAAGAAAGTGAAAGACTCCACTGCAGCCAGCAGGTATAATAACTCTGCTATTATTGGCTGGTCAATAATACTTTTCTAATATGCTCCGTTTCCTTCTTTTTTTTCCTTTAATAAATATATTGTTTGACCTGCAGGGCCAGTACTCTATCAAACGCAGTGTCATCACTGGCCAGCACAGGGATGTCTTTCACTAAGGTGGATGAGCGGGAGAAGCAGGCGGCCCTTGAGGAGGAACAGGCCCGACTCAAAGCCCTTAAGGTTTGTGTAGTTTCTGTATGTTAAAGATCTAATCCATGATTGAGTCTGTGTTGTTTTTTTCTTTACTGGTACCTTTCTTTTACGTTGGGTAGGAGCAAAGGCTCAAAGAGCTGTCAAAGCGGCCGTCCTTTTCCACCACTGATACATCGCCGGTCTCCACCACCGGGGGCACCATCAGCACAGCACCAACCATTGACCTCTTCTCCACACCCAGCTGCTCAAATGGGTACTCCTTACACATAGTTACTCCATCAGTTTAAGAGGCAGAGCTACTGTGGGGATTATTTATTTATTTATTTTTTCCCAATTTGTTCTTCAATTTGCTCTCTAGCATCAAGTTAATATATTTGTTATTTGAAATATTTCTGTGTGCACAGTGAGAAAATTCTTTTAACTTTCCTGTGCTAGAAATAAGCAATAAAATTTTTTTTTTTTTAAAGTGAAGCGTATTTTTAACTATACTAGTTTCTAAGTTGATCATCCAATAATCTATGATGTATTGCTTCATTGGGGTGTAAATATGTCATGACACAGGTGCAGCCTCTGTGCTGGTACCTCAAAGCTCCACATTTTACTGCAAGACCAAAGGCTGGAATTTGACCCATTTTCTGAAAAGTATGAAAAGAAAAATGTGGAAAAGCTGTGTTTGTTTGTTTTTTTGTTTTTTTTTTCCATCTCCAATATTGTAAATGAACAAATGTTAATAATTCAGAATAAGCAGTGATGCATTTAAATTAGTTCTGGCTAATAAATAAATTGAATTGCATCAATTTAGTGTGATTAGATGCAATAGCTCAGACAGTAATCAACACTGTTTTCAATTGAGACCCAAATCCAGTCCTCTTCTCCTTCTTACGGTCATCACCATAAACGCTGAAGTGCTGGGAGGCACAACCCAGGGCTGTCATTGGTTGAGACGCCCCAGCGATGCCCATCCAAAGCAAATGTTGATCAACAACTCACCCTCCTAGGACCCATGGATTTGATTTTCTGTGAATATAAGGGGCAACGTTTTTTTTTTTTTTTTTTAAAGCACTAAACTTGGATTGAAATAATTGTTAGCATTTAGCAGCTGGTGTTTTAAGGCATTTAAATACCTTTACCTTTGCTTTACCAAATCAATAAGATTTTAGATTCTATCAATATTTTAATTTACGGTGCACATATTTAAAAATGGCCACCCCACAACATTTTTGAGTTAAGACACCTTTTATATTCTGGTTTCACTGGGACTGGGGGTTGTCAGCCAAATCCTACCTATGCTGTGCAATTTTCATAAATTAAACTAAATTACTAAAAATTTTGAAACTTCTGCTATAAATTATTCAAGTTGGCAGAAAAGCCATGACATGATCTTATTACACAATTGGAGACCACTTTCAGTCTTTCCTTGTTTCATGAGTTTTGGAACGCAAAGACTTCACAAAGTTGGGAGGTCAGTGTAATAATTTGGACCTTACTCAAAGGTCTGAATATTATGAAACTGCAAAAAAAAATTAAAGATCTGTAAATCTGGAGTTTGAAATCCATCTAAATCCTCTCTGGCTGCAATGAGGTGACACAACCTCAGACTAAACATGTCATTAGTTGGGTTTTACTGTTATGTGCGTCTCCTGCTCTTTAGGATGGTGTACATGTAGACACTTCCTCATATTTTTGTATACACTGAATGTGTTGCTGGCTAAAGGAGCCTTTTGTTCAGTTACCCATACAGAATTATGGTTCAGAAGAATCCCTCTAATTAAATGGTCTTTTTCTCTCTCTCTGTCTCTATTTTTCTGTGTCTGCAGTGCGGTCAAGATGGAGAGTGACCTTTTTGACCTGCAGCCAACCTTCCAGCCCTCCATGCAGTCGGCCTCCACGGGACTCCCAGTAGCCACAGCGTGGGCAGGTAAACCTTTGTTTTGTTCCTCTTCTCATCGTCCTCCAGCCAACGCCGTGGCTCTGCATGCTATCCTTCTCTTGTTGCTGTTGTCTGACTCTGTTCTCCTCCTCCTCTCCACTGTCATTTTCTGTCTCTCTCTTTTCTCTTTCCTCTGCCTGCATAGATCCTTTCACCTCTACTGAAGCTGGAGATGATTCCATGCCAAACCTTAATCCTTTCCTGTCAAAACTCGTTGTTGATGCCACTCACTTACCTGTCGTGTCTTCAGACGGTGTTAGCTTTTCCTCTAGGACATCTGGTCATGAAATGTTTGGTGGTAACAACTCATTTTGTTTCTCTTCCAACGTCTTGTCTCTCTTTCATATTTCTGTAGTTAAGAGCATGATTATCCTGCATGTTCAATGTTTTTTCTGTACAGATCTTTTTTCTCTACCTATTCTTACTGTTCTTACCAAGTTCAGATTAATATTAAAGGCCGACTTCTTCAGCTGCAGCTTCTTAGTAAAATATCTCTCTGATGTTTTGTTAGGCCTTATTCTGCATAACCAGCTGAAGGGACTCTGAAACCTTTACATGCTCCGCTGTACCTGCTGGGTGTTCAGTACTGCTCACTTTAAATGAAATCTACTGGGTACATTTACAGGAAGTGAGCGTCAAGCTTCAAATTTGTGTTTTAAAGCCAAAGGTGCTAACAGGCGAGGAAGAAGTTCTGCTGGGTGAATTGGAACCTCTTTCTAGCTTTCAGTGTCATTGGTCTAGTTTTTTTTTTAGTTTTTTTTTTTTTTTTAAATAACCCTTTTATTTTATTTTTTCACTTTTATTAATTATTTCTTTGTTTTTAAATAAAATGAAAAAATCTTGATCCCATGAGGAAAAAAAAAAATTCACCAAAGCATTAATGCTCAGGTTCTATGGGATAACCTTTTCATAGGGCTGGATGTTTACAAACCAACAATAAGATCTAATTTTTAAGATCAGGGGTTATACAATACTTGATTCAATATGTTTTTCTTTTCAGAAAGTAAATGTAGTAAGTTAACTCTTAATCAAAGCTTTGACAAAAATGTACATTTTTAACAAATAGCTGTAGTCTGAAAAAATAGCAACCTGGCATATAAAAAAATATAAACATAATCTATCGTGGATCCCAATACGGATAGTAAAGTCTGACACTTTAGAATATGAATCAGGATTACTTATGATTAAACAGTTATTTTGAAAGAAAACCCATAGCGTATTTATTTATTGACTCTCTTAAAGAAATTAGTATTTTTTGAGTTCTGATGAACGGTCTTTACAGGTAGAGTAATGCTTCAAATATTTGGTACAAATTTTTTTAAAGTAAATAAAAAAATAAAAAAAAAACCCTTCAGGTTTTGCACACATACAGGTTTACTTCTAAATTAAACCCATATATTTAACATTCATGTGCGGAGCAAAATTTTAGAACATAACATTCCTCTCACTCTTATTCTGCTTGGTATTAATGGGGACACATTTTCCTATTTGGTTACTGTAGAGATGAAGGAAAAGGCGGTTTGCACCAAAACTTAGTCAGCACAAGTATGTCCTTGTTTTATTTATTTTGGTGCACTTAAGTACAACAAATGCGAAATGCAATAATCATTCATATTAATGCAATTCTAAGGTGTTTATTTATGCAAGATCTCTTAGGCAGAGATTAGATTAAATAAAAACTAAGTAATTATTAGCATTTCCAAATGGTCATGTTGTAGAAAAACCTTTATTTACTGACAACTAAAACTTGTTTTAAACCTCTATGAACTGCCACTTTAAAAGGCATCTAATATAGTGAGTCCACATCATTTATCCTGGTTTATGGTTGACTGGTCCAGACGGCCAAGTTATGTAATTTTAGCGCCTATGCCTGCCTGATTTTCCACACTGTTCACTTAGGAGAGCGTATAACTACGGGGACTGCTCTCAGCGGGAAAAATATGGTTGAATTTCACCATCGCTAGCAGATTATCAACAACGTTTTTGAAAGAAGTTAACTCTCACTCTTAGTTTAACAAGAAGAGACTTTGAAAATGATGGAAACTGCTGTGTTTTCTACTTCTACATGTCTGGTGCTGTAAGCTTTCAGTTTGGTTCTTGAACGCACCTTAGTCACCAAAATATTAGGTATGTGGGAGGGGGCACCGCATTGGAGTATTAAAACTTCAAACTTGTTTCGCACAAAACATATGAGTGTCCAGCATAACCCAGCCTTGAGTCAGCTGTTTAGGAACGCACATTTTTTTTTAGTCTGTTACTGAGACATTGGTGAAAGAAAGGTGTTGCACAATTTTAGCTTTGATAACTCCGAGTATGAATTTCATGTTGTTCCACAGATTGTTTTGCTGTTGAGTGAGACAATCGTTATTGATCTGTGTCTTACTGTCCAGCATTTTCCTGATGGATTTCACTGTCTTGACGTTTTTTGCTAAAGTCTGCTGCTCTTGTTGTTAAGGCTGCTGATAATTTTGCCCCCGTGTTTTATCATAAGAAGCAGCTTTAGTTTTTTTAATGCCCGACTTTTCCGAATTCAAAACAGTGGCATAGGCTATGGGAAGTGGTGTGGCAACTTTCACCCTTTTTTCAAACGTTTTGTTACTCTGTCTTTTTGTTTTGTTTTTTTTCCCTATCATTTTTGCCTATTATTTACTTTCCCAAAAAGGATCTCATATTGCAAGTTGGTTCAGCCTTTAGAGTAGCGTCAATTTGGATCGGTTACTAGACTTAATTTTGCACGATTGCAAAAACTATGAAATTATACACATTTTTATTTTTTTTTTGTATATAACAGATGATTTATAGCCAAAATATATTTGATTATTTGTTATACCTTAACTTTTAGTAATTTTCTGCTAATATTGAATTAGACTATAGTCTAATTTGATATAAATAAGAAAATAAATATATTCACTCTGCAGAGTTAGTGATTCATACCAACTCTCTAAGGGATCGTATTAAAGTGCAGCTGATTTTACATCTGCCATCTTCTGTGTATAAGCCAGATCTGATCCATGTCCTGCTGTTTATGCCCGTTTAGCTGCTGCTGCTCCTCTGTTCATGAACATCTTGCTGTTGCTTTGTGGTGCTCAAATGATGTAGAGCTTTAAGTTTAAACCTGTTCTTACACTATTTTTTAATTCTCCAGATCGTTACAATCCCTTTACTGACACAAACTCATCCGTTTCAACCAATTACAAACGCACAGTGCGGATAGAACACTCCATCTCAGGTACTATGATGGCTCACCGCCTTAACCTATGTTTGCTGGCAAACATAGACTGCTATACAAAACTCCACTGAGCCATTGTTGGAGAACTATAACAGACTTTTTGGAAATAAAGGAAGAGTTTTACATTTTGGGATATTTATTATTATCTAACTTTAAATATTGTTCGCAAAGTATAGGAAAATCAACTAAATAAACATAAAACCAATAAATGCGTGAGGAAAAAATATTAAAATGATGCAAAACTTATAATCCCTCCTTGTGGCAACTTTCTAGCTTCGAAATAAATAAATCAGTAAAAATGTGGTAGTTTGTAGCAAAGGGAAACAAAATAAACATCCTGGGAATTCTTATTCACAAATCCAACATCTGTATCAGACTAGATCTGTTTCTTAGTCTGAAGTTATAGAGGGTTGTCACGTCTATGATCTGTTTTAACAAAATGTAAACAAGAACAAGAACCTCCTCCAAGAATGGTGAGTCCATATTTTCTTTCAGTATGATTGGGTCTTAATGCAAAAATACCTAAATTAAGTTGTGATAAAGTCAACCTTAAAATCATGACTCCCCTGACTTAATGGGGATCATAGCCTTCACGTTGAAGACGCCTAATCTAAATGAGTGTAGTGTCTTTGCAGGTTAAATAAATCGTCAGGGTCAGTTGAGCTGGTGTGGGATGATCAGCAATATTCCTGCCATTCGGATGTCGTCGCCCATTAGCTGATGAATCACTACTCCTTTTTTTTTCTCTCCATCTATCACCCTTATATAAAAAGTGCATGCTTAAAATCAAGAAGACCAATTCCCAAAATGTTTAACTTAACCTTTATTACCTTCTGGGTTGCTACATTTTTGTGATGTCGTGTTTTATTTTTATAATTATTTAGCAACAACAGAGAAAAAAAAACCCTGTCAATTTTAAAAAGATGAAAGCACTTCTCATATTTCCTGTACTGCTTCTGTCATTCCTCACCCTTTTCTGTCCCTGACGTGCTTTTACTCCTCTTTTCTTTCTTCCCGTTTCTCTCCTCTTACTCTTGCTGCTTGATGTGGCCTGTCAGACTCCTTCTGTGGTCCAGCCTCCGTTGCTCAGCATCTCCCACATCAGGCTCCCTTCCCCACTGAGCCCTCTACTGTAGCAGGTCTATTCAGAGGTAGAGTATTCTAGGCTCTCTCCAGCAGATCAAATCCAATTTTCTGCTCTGCTGAAGGAATCCATCTTCTCTCTATGAGAATCTTGTTTGGAACTGCGGTCCAATCTTGTACCTCTGTTAGTCACTTTTCTTATCTCTTTCCAAAGGATACTCGACGCCTCAGGCCCCTCCACAACCGCCAGCAGGGGGACTACAGGTGGACTTTGAGTCTGTTTTTGGAAACAAAGCAGCTGGCAGCAGCAGCCTCAACTCTGATGGTGAGGAGCTGAAGTAAAGAGCTGCAATGGGATGTTGTTGGTTGATAGATTTTCTTTATGTTACTGAGACAATTAATGATTTCTCAGGCAGGATCCAGTACCCTGTATGAAATGTATTAACAATAGGGCTGGGCAAAAGAATCTATTTAATCGATTTTGAATCGATTCCTTTAAAAATTTTGCAAAATCAATGTGTAGGGAATGAGATCCATTAGTTTTATAGTGATGCGCATGACGTTCACATTCAAATGAGATGGCGTGTGCAAATGCCGACCCAAGTAACACACTGCTGAGCAAGCTGTCCCAACTGAAGTCTGATGTGTGGAACCATTTTGGATTTGAAACAGCTAAAGATAATGTGCTGGATATTTGACATTACAGTGACTAGTGGCGCCTCGCATCTCGTGCTACAGACTACCAAGATTATTCAGCTGCAAATATAACCAATAGGTTGACTGAAGACATTAACAAAAGGGGGCTGACCAGCAAACACGCTGTAGTTGTTACAGACATGCTGCAAATACGGTTTGTGCAGAGAAGATAATGCAGCTTATGCATCTCTGCTGTGTCACGTCTGTTTGCTCGAGTGAGACTTCACTTTTTTACTTTTCACAAATAAGTTTCCACTTTTTACAGAGCTTTGTTCACATCTCAAGTTTAAACTGTCTGATTTACAAGTTTGAACTTTGTGTTTAATATGACAGGAAAAATTAAAATGCATAAGTATTTTGAAACACAGTTGAACCACTTTCATTATTGTAAAAACAGTTTGAATTGAAATTAATCGATTTAGAACTGTATGAATCAAAATCGAATCAATTCAGGACTTTGGCGAAAATACCCAGCCCTGATGAACATCTTAGTGAGTGACCAACACAGTTGTGCTTAATGGGAAGGAAATAGAAATGATGCATGGTTTTCTGGTACATAAGAACAGCTTGTTACCTCCCTCTGACATCCAAGAATAAAATCCTCTGCAAATAATTTCCTTTAGAGGTCACCTCATCGGAACCTAAACTTAATCTCACATTAAATAGAGCTGTTCTTTGAAGATATTAGTAAACTTCTTCATAAAGACCACGAATCACAGCAAGCAGCTCAAGGTTACATTTTCAAGCACTTAAATTAGGCTTAAATTAAAACTCTTTAGTTTACTCAGAGCAGTGTTCAGGCCCAAATATCTAAATAAAAAGCTCACCACTCAGCAGCAAATTGCCAAGACAGGGCGGCGCGCCCAAACTGACAGGCTACTGGAGCTGCTGAGGTCCTTCTCTACAGAAGGACTTTTACTTCTCAATTCTACAAATTTAGCTTCTAAAAGAAAAAAAAACTAAAAACATACTTTATTATCTGAAGCAAAACCTTTCCGATGTGTTCAATGGGTTTAATGTCTACATTAGTCTTCTTAGAGTTTTTCAGGGACATCTACCTCCTTACTGTTAAGGTTCAAAACAATCCTTCCATTTTATAAATGTGTAAATGATAAAACTGATTTTCTTTTACCTCAATAAAGTTAGCAATATTTTTAAATGTGTGTTTTAATCAGTCCTGTTTTTCCTATCAGATCTTGCTGGAGGCATCCTGAAACCGACTCTTGCTGGCTCCAACCTGGCGTCCAATCAGCAGCCTGAGAAGCTTGTGTCAGATGACCTTGACTCTTCCCTGGCCAACCTTGTCGGCAGTGAGTGTGGCGCTTTATGCTGTTGTGCTCTAATGAGCACACATCTTCATTAGGACAAAAAAGTTGCCAGAAAACTTAGACTAACCGCTGCTTGATGAATGTTGCCTTCCAGACCTGGGCATCGGAAACGGCACGATGAAGAAGTAAGTGCTGCTTCATGGCACGCCGTCTCAGCTCTGCGCTGCATTCTGACGCTAACGTGAGATCTGTAATCCACAGTGACATGCACTGGAGCCAGCCAGGGGAGAAGAGGATGACTGGCGGCACCAACTGGCAACCCAAGGCGGCCCCAACCACAACCTGGAACCCTGTTTCCATGGTGACACACACATTTATGTCTGCCTCTGCCATACTCCTCCTCAGTTTTATCTTTTAATTCCAAACTTCTCCCCCTAAAGCGTGATCGTAGATCTAAAGCAAACTTTAAACCTTACCAGAATGTTTATATTCCTAACTTTTTATTTGGGAAAACCAACGATACAAAGTGCCTTACAAAAGTATTTATATCCCTGGACTGTTTTAGGTATCAACCATAAACCTCAGTGTTTAAACTTTGTTTGATAGAACATTGAGAATGGTTAAGGAACGATAAGGTGTCTCCCTCCTCTGTTAGTAAAAAAATAAGATCTGAAAAGTCTGGCATGCATTTATATTCAGTGTGAGTCTTTAATCTGTGGAACCACCTTTCTCTGAACAAGGTATGCTCCACATCGCACCACGTTTATGTCCTTTATTAACAGAGAAGCGTGACAAGCTCAAGCAGAATTGATGGAAATGGTTCATGTGAACATCTTCTTTGTTTTTTAAGTCTTGCAGGAGATTAGCTGAATTTGAATGTGGATTCTAACTGGGCCTGTCAGACATACCAATAGGTTTCTGTTTAAACATTCCTCTGCACCTTAAGCAATAATAGACTTTATTTTCTTCCTTGTCTTTGATCCATATGAGGTCTAGATTTTACTGCAGACCTACATATGTAAATAAGGTCTTTTGCCAAGTCAATTCCTTTTACAACGCAACATCTTTTTTAATGCCACTCTAACCCTCATCTCTCTTTTGTTACGAAAAACACAATTTATAAAACTTTAATTTGTATATATATATTTTTTTTTTCATTAGCGTTAATTTTTTTATTCTGCCTCATCTTCTGTGGAAGCAGCCATGCTTGGGGGGGAAAAAAATAAACTTTTTAATAATTTTTTTTTTTAGTTATGACCATAAAGCTAAATGTTGAGTTGGACTGCTCCATTAAATCTGAGTTTTAAAATGACGAGAAAAAGTTTTAAGGGGTTTGAAAACTTCTGTAATGCAGCTAATTGAATTAGCTGTGTTGGAGCAGAAATGGATCAGAACCATTTGAGACACCGCTCCCTGAAGGTCAAAAGGTTTACAGCTCCTCTCAGATACTTGTTATCTTAACAGGTAAACACAGATTTTAGATATTTCACATCTATTTAAAAGAAGTAGGAACATTTAGGTCTGATTAAAAAGTCAAGTATTTATCACAGATTATTTAGAGGCTTCAGTCAAAGGCTTTTCCTCCCCGTTTGCTCTTTTTGTCTGGTTCTATTTGTTTCATTGTTTCTAAATCAGATGTTTTTTCCTGGAATTGACACCCATCTGGGCTTGGTGCTAATTAGTCAGTGATGTATCTCGTCAAACTGAGATGTCCCAGTGACTATCTGTTCCTGTGGTTTTCCCTCAAAGCAAACCACAGGATCAGAATAGTGATTTAAGTCAGTTAAAGCTGCAATATGACTTGATTCTCTGGATGTTTTGCTAAAAATTCATCCCAATCTCTTTGTCTCCCATCAGCCACCATCAGTCATGGCCTTCCCTGCCACTACACCCACGAGCATGATGGGATACGGCATGGTAAGTTTTCTGTTCAATTATCGCTTCAGTAATTACACCCTATATATTATAGGTGTTAGAAATCAGTTCCACAAACTTAGCCAATTTACTTTTGAAGGAGAGATTCATTAGCTTTGAGATTTTGGAAATGTTTGCTACAGACATTTAGGACTATTTCTAATACTTTGTGCTGCCAAGGACGAAATGAATAAATAGATAAATTGAATAAACAGCCAATGTCCAAATATAACACTGTTTAATAATTTGTTATGAAAAGTCTAATAACATTTCTCCTTAATGATCAACTAAATCCCCAACTTTGTGTTTCATGTTCCATAGACGTGTCTCAGACTTAAAAAAAATGATGGCATCAGTATTTTTTTTCATTATTTATAGGTATTTATGATAGAGGTGTGTTTCAGGAATAGAAAATTTATTTAGTTTCAGAAATTAAAATAATGGGACAAAAATGGTCAGACCTGCTGTAGAGTCTTAAACAGTGATACCATTTGAAGTGTTTCCTTTCTGTTAATTATAATTAATGGCTTTAAACAATATAAAAATGATCAGTAAATATTTTTGTATCATCAGGATAATTGATGCCGATATGTCAATTCATTAAAAGTACGGCCATACACTTTACTGTTGATGATTAAACCCTAGGCACACTATATGCAGCTGATTGGTCTATAGGTCTGCTGATGTCATAAAGGAAATAAGTTAACTTCAGTGGCTGATCTCCATTGTTGGGTTTGGTGTGTCTGTGGGTTTTTATCGCACACATTTTTCAGTTTGATTAGTAGGTCATGCTGGAAATCTAGATCTACATATAGTTTCAGCAGAAGGAAGCCTCATCCTTTACCACAGGAATATGGATTCTATTCATCTCCTCCTTTCCTTCACATTATGGAACCTTGTTTACAAAATATATATATTTTTTTATTATTCTTTGGACCACCAACAATATTCCAGTGATTTGTCTCCTTATCCTAGTGGAGATGCTTCTGATTATGTCACTAATTCAAGAACACAACTAAGGTAGCTGTTCTAATGTTCTGCTTACATATGTGAGGTGACTTCCTGGTGCATTGCCCCTGACTTAAGCTCTTGCCCTCTCAATTTCCCTCAAAGGCTTGACTGAGGACCCTTTTCCCCTTTTATCAATTTTCTGACATGTTTGGATACTGCACTCTGTAACCAGCCAGTCTCTTCTGCAATGGCCTTTTGTGGATTCCCATCGTTGTGGAAGTAACCTCTGACTAAAGATGGACTGATCGTCAGCAAATTTTGGCCTATATTCGTGGGGGTCTTATTTTTGTTTTTTTCTTTTATCTGTGCATTTTGCAGCCATGCTGTGAGCACATGTGGGGAGCATGCATTGCCATTCCCCTCAATTTGCTGCAAATTAGTTTTATTTTCTTCAGTAATAGATGTTTTTTTGTTGTTGCTGTTGTTGTTGTTTAAAATGAGACCTGTATAATATCTGTTTTCATTTAATTTTTATTTTTTTAATATAAGGAAGGAAAAGCAATAGTTACTCAAAGAATCGTCCCAAAGAAATACAAACATCACTTACTGAGGATCTATTAGACTGATGTCAAAATAATCTGTATTGGATTTAAGAATCCTGTATCAGTCGGTCTCTACCTCTGACCATCTGCTGGACCAGTCAGAAGTTATAACTGTGTTTCTTTTTAATCAGTCGTACATTTTAGATCTCTGATAGACTCGATTTTTTTAGGCTTTCTTTAAGCTATATTCTTAAAAAAAATGAATAAATTAAACATTTAAAGGATATAACTCTGTGTGGGATAAATTGGTAGTTTCACTCTTCGAGTCGAGTGACTGCAATAAGTTCACTTTAATGTTTAAAACAATTTTGATGCATCAGTACAATCGTTTTCAGTCCCATACAGTTGGTGGTGTTAGCAAATGTTTTCTAGGAATCGTTTTCTTGTAGTTGAAATGACTGATGTGATTTGCAGCCTCCACAGATGGGCTCCATGGGGATGATGAATCCACCCACCATGATGTACACCCAGCCCGTCATGAGGCCGCCCAATCCCTTTGGCTCTGTGTCCAGCGCTCAGGTTTGTGCAAGGCTCAGTCTCCTCAGGTGGAGTACGTGGTGTGTTCAATGTGCAGTGTTGTGAACCCCGGTTAGTGACTGTGAAAGCTTTGTTGTCAGTGTGAATACTGCTGAAGATGATGACAGTTTTAACAAAAAAAAAAAGAAGTCTTCACTCGCTGGAGCTGAAACTAACGACAACAAAAACTGAAGAATCATCTTCTGTTTCGACTTCCTGTTTCCAAAAAGCTCCTCTTTTTATTTTAATTTGTTTGTATTAACCCATCTATCATACATCACAGCCTCTCCAAACTAATCTCATCCCTACTTCAGTCTCTGTACTGACTCTGACTTCTCCTCTGGTCCTCCTACTTCCTGTGTTAGCCCTCTGCAGCCTCTAGTCCTTCCAGCCAGAGTCCTCTCCGAGCCCCTGGACAGGACCCGTTTGCACACCTCTCTCTCAAGGATTTCTTGTAGAGCATCTCTTTAGGTACATCATGCTGTTTGCTTGCAGAGGCACCTGCATGCGTGATCCGACCAGCGCTGATGCATGTTTGCTTTTGTTTTATTTATTTTATTTCAAAGCCCTAATGTCCTTTCCAGTGGATCATGCACTGCATATGTTACTTATTGTTTATTTTTGCTTTACTTGGCTTTTTGGGTTACCTTGCATGGATGTCTTTCTTGTTTTGTCTGACTGAGACTGACGCATCTTGGTCCTTTGTGCTTTCACTTACATGATTCGTGGCTTAAAGCAGTTTTTTCTTTGCCTTGCAGCTACTGCTATATTTAACTTATTGTATGTTTGCTAAGCTTTGTCCCTTCAGGGTAAATACTGTTACTGCAGGTTCGTAATATAAAGCTGACATGTCAAACTGTTCTTTATGCACCAAACCACACAGAACATGTTCAGTCAGGGAATATAAAACTTTTCACTGTTAAAAATATGCATTTATTCTCAAATCTGTCAATTGAAGAAAGAAAAAAAGACACTGCTGAAAGTGTACTTTTTTTTATTAAGGTTAATCTACTTAATTATATATTATTATCAATCTACAGCTTTCCTACATAGTCTAAGGTATTTTGTTACACCAAAGCACAAACCCCACTTCTATAAGCTTCAGTCAACACAATAAAAACTAAATTATAAAACATGCGCCAGCTTATTCAGAAATATATATACTTTTTTATTAAAAATCAACATTTAGTTTGACTTTTAACATTGCTCCAAAAATATTTTAGAGATAGAGATTCAACAGTTCTTAATTTAAGCTAAAATAACCCTGTCTTCATTTCTTAGTTTTTATCTATAATCTTATTGGCGCGCAGCTCTTTAATTTATAGTGCTTGCTAATATATTGTTTTTTCTGTCATGTTTTTGACATCTGGGTGCAAAACAAAGCTAAAGGTTCCTGGAATTGAGTTTAAAATGGAAAAAAGTGACAGATTATCAGTAGATTTTACTCTTTCTAAGAAGCCTGACGTAGTCCTACTCAATTCTAGTCAGAATATGAGTCTGATTCTGCTCCATAGAGCTGTGATTTTGGGGCGTGTTTTGAACGGACCAGGAAAAAAAATGCCTCTGTACTCAATTGGATAGATCTACAACCAATAAGAGCAACGGAGTGCGTGATGTATGTTAAGCCAGGCATAGTTGTTGTCAACAAAAATCAAAGCGTGCAGTTGCGCGCCTAGAATAAGAATATGAGACTTGATCGCGTTTCTCTTTTCCTCTTTTAAAATTAATTTGCTGTCGATATCTTCTAGAACAGACCTAATAGCAGAATCTACTCACCTCAACTCTCCGGCGGCAGCCATTGTTGTTGTCGCCCAAGCGCGCTTTGGTCACGTGGTTGATTACGTTACTGTTGATCATCTGTCCATCATCGTATAAAGCCCGCCCTGACAATTTGATTGGATCGCCAGAGGGTGGGCGATCATACTCGCGCTACTATGGAGCAGAGCCAGACCGAACTTCCCAACCTCAAACCTTGTGGGCGGGACTAAGTTCGGAATGGCACCCAGGCTACTTTCTAAGGCTTCTGTCCGACAAATTTGGACTGGTCGTTTGGAAATGTAAATTCAATCCAATCTAAATCTGTTGCAATTTTAAGAAATGTTTCCTTCTAATAATAGTTGTAATACTAATGATAAGAAAAATAATAATAAAAGGTTTAATATTAATTGTATACCAGTTTTAGAGGAAAATGTAGTCAACATGCTGATTTACAGCTTTGATCGTTTTCCTTTTTTTTTGCAAAATATATAAACTAAATAAATAAAAGGAATTCTGTTGTTGCTTGTTCCATTGTAGTAATGTGTGCTTCTGCTTTCTAGCTGAACTGGCAATAAAACAAACTATGTAACTCAACCTAATTAGATGAACATATTAGTCTTTTTAGACTAGACATTCCAGCTTTCTGTTTAGGGGGGGAAGCTTAGCAAACTGTGACTAAACTCTTATGATCGTCTGTTGGATTCAGCCTCTGTTTGACCCCCGCTCTCTGCTTTTCTTGCAGATGCAGTTCATGTAATTTGAAGGAAGTGTCTCTCAGAAGATGAAGCACTTAGCAGCAAAACCTTGTCCTCGTTGCCGTCTAACTCTTCAGAGAAGCAGCCCCCCACCCCCCCTCCCAAATACAGACACGTCGAGAATATAATGGTGCACCAACTGTCAGAAACCATTGTAACCATGTCCACACGGCGGTCGGCAGTAACTCAAACCCATTTTATTCTGAAATAACTAGGCCGACATGCCGAGTGATGCTGCTTTCTAACCTCCCCCCCACCTCTTTTTCGATGACTGCTTACTTGCCTTACAGTGTACTCTGTAAGGATGGTTCGGGTGCTCAGAAGCTCACGTTAAATTGGAGATTCTGAGGTTGGAAATGAAGGCTTCGATAGAGAGAGGGGAGGGGGAGCAGTTCTTCCCCTTCTTGATCCAATCATCAGTCATCCAGACCCTGCAGTTATTTAACCGTCACAAAGTAGTGATGCTAACAACGTTTACACCTGTTTAGTTTTTGTCTTTTTTACCGTGTTTACAGTAGACATTCCTTGTGTGTTGTTTGTATTTATTTATGATTATTGGTTTAAGATTGCCGGGGAGGGGGGGGGTTAATGTAAAATCTACAGTAAAATGATCACATTTGTGTGGGAGTGCTTCAGCATTAAACAAGGATTACAGACTATCATTAAGAGGTAGAGAAAAAAATAGATATTATATGAATTACACCTATTAAGCGGAATGATAGAGCACTAAATATTCTGAGTTTTGTGTTAAGAAAACTTCTGTTTTTTCCTACTAGATGAAAGATTTCACGATTTCCATTGTACTTACAGTGCAGGGGTTATAGTACCAGTCAGTTAACAGTATATAGTGTGCCTAGGGTTTAATTTGTATCGGATCCGTGTCCCCAACTAGTTTGGGGGGGAAAAAAAACAAATGACCACGAATCTGAAGGGTGGCACTGGGTGGTGGGCTCCATTTGCTTTAAGCTTGGCATGCCGTTGACTCACTGACTGTAATCAAGGCTGCCTTTACTCTGAATGTGAACGAGTTGTCTTCATGTTGCACACATCTTTCAACGCTGCAGTTTCTCAGAGAAAGAGCGGTGTCGTTGGGGAAGGGTGGGTGGGTCGGCTGAGTGGGTTGTGATCACACGAGTTGGGGTGGGGGGTAAAAAAAAAAAAAAAGATAAAAAGTGAGGGGAGCGGGTGTAAATTAGCTGTACAAAAGATCCAGAAGGAGCAGGGTAGAGCGGAGCAGCACTGTTGATCGGTGCCACATGTACATAAACACTCAACTGTTCTGTGAGCGAACAAACGTGAAAGATGTATGAAATATGAAAGCAATTCAATCAAATTTGACTCTACCTAAGTTTGATTCAGGATATTCTCTGCGTTTGTCTCCGCAGATATTTTCTTTATGTAATTAGATGGTGTAGCAGACAATGACTGAGGTCTTTTCTTTCTTTTTCAAATAAAGAGCAGCTTCCACAAACGTGTGTCTCTTTCTGTAGCTCTGCTCTTGTCATGTTGACTACAATGCTGAAGGCGAGGGACAGAAACTTTGTCGTTATCAAAATCGTGGCTAATGGGTATTTCTATGTTTAATGAATGTGAAATAACTCAATATTTTGTCATTTCAGGAAATAAAACCATCACTTTATTAGACATTTGATTTTAAGCCTTTCAGTTTTGATTATGGTTAACAGATTGTAAAATTGGAAAAATAAAAATCACTTGTAAAGAATGTTAAACATGTATAGGTTCCTTTAAAGATGTGAATTTGTTGGGCTTTCTGCATGACCCACTGTTCTTCCTAGTTATTGAGGGATTCTGGCTGCCAAATTAGCCGTTTGATGGCAGCCTTCAGGTCATCTGCATTGTTATAGGTGGGTAAAGTATCTACAGATTTAACTAAGAGAAGAGCTAATTTAACATTTTTCATTCAAGTAAAGAAAGTAGTCCAACACGTACTTGCTGAAAAGTTCTGTGTAATTGATGGGTCAAAACACACCGGATTTGTAATCAGATTGCAAATTCTGGCATTACAAACTATAAAATAGGAAAAATAAATGACAAAAAGGCAAATTCATGCAGAAGCAACACTTTTCCAAAAAAAAAATGTTTTTTATCATAAGCTCAGAACCTTTTTTTTTTTTTAGATAAGTAATTGATATAGATCAATACTTTACTTTTATCTGAAAGATTACTTTAAATTCACCTGATCTCCAAAAGCAAAAGTTTGAATTGGGCAGAATAACCAGAAATCATTCTGAATTAAAAGTAGCATTTTTCAATATATATGTATATGTGTATACCTAATTAAAAGTAAAAACTGAACTGTTTCTATTGCAGCAACTTCAGGAAACAAAAAAGCTGCGGAGAGAATGAGGTCGGGCCGTTCCTTGTCTGACGCTGGGATCAATATGGTGCTGATGTGAACTTTATTCACATCAAAGGTTTAAACAACATATCTAAAGTATAACTTGTTAAACATATAGTAGTTTACAGCGATTTGCATTGCAGTCAACAAAAAAATACAGTGGGTCACTCACCCACTGTCTGCCAGTGTAACTCAGGTGACTAATATACCCAATTACAAAACTCCTCCCAAATCTAATTGATCCATTCCCCTACAAACAGACATCAAACCAACAAATAACATACCAGGTATAAACTCAGACAAACGAATGTCAAAGCATCTTTTCATTTATGGCTCCTAGAACTACTTAAAATAGATTTTTTTTTTCCCCTTTCTGCTTAAACCCACTCAAGTAAATGCAACTTATTACTACCCACCTCTGGTGGTCTGGTGTCTCATTTTTGGACAGAAAATCAGGTCAGATGGACTCTAAGGCCAATGAATCGCAGAACCAAAGATCCAACACAAGCAGAACCCTAAATCCTCACCGATTGCTTTCCGACTAAACTTCACACTTGTTTCTGCTCCCCTCATCCTTATTTGGGACCTTTATTTTCCCATTAAAATTTAAACTTTATTTTCATATGGGGGCGGAGGAGCCAGCCGGGAGGCATCTGAAACAGATCCCGGTCGCCTCCCTCCAGGCATGTCTTATTGGGAGGAGGCCTCGTGGAAGGCCAAGGACAGGGGTGCTGAAGTCCAGTCCTCAAGAGCTGCTATTCCACAACTTTTTGATGCAACACATTTTTAAAACACCTGAATCAAATGAGTGCCTCGCTACCACGCCTCTGCTGAGCTAAATGAGGGGATTGAGGCTTTAGATTCTGGTGTGTTAGAAAAGAGATGCATCTAAAAGTTAGAGCATGGTAGCTATTGAGGACTGGACTGGCCTGGCCTAGGACATGCTGGAGCGTCTATGTCTCAGCTGGCCTGGTGTTGCCTTGGTGTCCCCCCAGAGCAGCTGGAGGAGGTGTGTGTGGATTGGGAAGTATGGGCATCTCTGGTTAGACTACTGACTTTGGGACCTGGGCCTGGATAAAGCAGAAGATATTTTCCCATTTTTTTCTCTATAACCCAGAGGACATCTGTAGCCCATGTGCTAGATCAGTCAGTTTTTTCTATTACACCTTTTCCCTCCACTTGAGTTTTTATAAAGATGCTTGGTTGAAACATTCTGAACAACCACCTTCTTCAGAAATTACCTTATCTTGTTTACTTACTTATGGAGGGTGAGTTACTGTCCTCTACACATCTGTTCTCTCAGCCGTATTTCCCACGATTGTGTATCCTAGTGACAGACTTTGATATCAAGAGTTAACTAAATACATGCAAATTTTAAGTTTTTTTTTTTTTTTTTTTAGGTAAATGCAGGATATAGTTTGCTCTGTACTTTATATATCCTAGTTTTTGAAATACTATTCTGATTGGAGCTTTTCTGATCCATTACAGCCACAAACCTTTAAGTATTTTATTAGGAGATAAGGTGAGAGGCTGAACACAAAATGTGCAGGTGATCAAGCTTACAGCTCAAGCATAAAATGGTGACATAATTTATGCATATGGTATTTCATAAATAATTTTTGTTCTATCAGGGCAGATTTAAGTAATTATTTATTAAGAAACTTGCGTTTCCAAATAATTATGAAATCCCTCTTTGAACACAAGGCCTTTATCCCTTGATGTGCTCTAAGGTCATAGAATCACCTCAGAGACACAGTGGGGGTGTTTATTCCTCCAAACTGGAGCACAGATGGTGAAACAGCTTCGTGTAGCTGCTTTAATTGCAGTCTGACCTCAGCCTGTCCTGTTGTGCCACATGGGAAGATGCTCACACCCTTTAGTCAAACATTCGCTGCATCTCGGCCACTGGCGACACCTGCTGGATGCAGCCTGTCACTGCAGCCCAAGTTAAACAGCGCGAGCTGCAAAAGAAAACAGCGGTTGGCATTAATCACCCAGGCCCACATTAAACAATATTAATTAGTCTGAGGAAGAGTACAGAAGGTTATATAACATAAAGGCTGGTCTTTATCTTGTCTTAGTCAGGTCCTCCCATCGTTATGCTGAGGCTCCGCCCCCTTCTCCTGCGCTCCTGTGAGCGCATCCAGCAGCAGCAGCACAGCTGAGACACCCTGAACAATTTATCCCTCCTTTTCTAACCATAAAAGTGGTCCTGAAAGGTGTCCTGTAAGGTAAGTCAAAATATAAACCTGTTTTCCGATATATTTTTATGACCTTTTGTCTTGAACAGAGAGAGAAAAAATATCTTATTGAAATTAAATTCAATATAAAGTTATCTAACCTGTTGCATTTCTCCAATAATTTCCAAACTTTATTGTCCATAACAAATGGAGCATTGGTATGTTTGATGCTGTGTCTGTACAAAATAATTTTACTGAAATGTGGAAATAAAAAGGCAAGTATGATTTACTTGATTTATATCATTATCTGAAAACTAGAATTAGTTCCCACTTACTGACCCTGTGTGGTGTTATTTACGCGCTGTCACACAGCCACGTCTAATTTAAATGTTAATGAATAAGAGAAAGTTCTCTTAAATCTTCAAGTTTTTAAAAAGGGGTACGAAACGGCTGGGGACAGGGGCGGAGCTAGATGGGGGGCCAGAGGTGGCCATAGGGTTAGCCAATCATTGGCCACCCCTAGCATCTTTTTCACACTGTAATACAGATGGCAGCAGTAATAATCTCAAGGGGAATGTTAAAACTTATTAATTTTTTCATATATTAACAATTACATGACAACTAAAACACTGTGCACATCAAAATACTAACATTAAAGTTGATATATACAGAATATTATGTCTCTGTTAGTCATCTAGGAGTCTTCAGTGAAATCATAGATGAATAACTACTTTAATAATAAATTAAACATCCACTTAAAGTAGATATTAGTACATGTAAATATTAATTTTATGCAAAACCATTTTTGAAAAGATGTTCACCCCAGAAATTTTGTCCTACACCTTTTATTTCAACAGCATGGGTGTTTAAATATATACGTCTATTTGTTAGCAAAGGCTGTAGGAAAGTTTAGTTTGCTTTATTTAGAAAATATGGATGTTGTGCTCATTCCTGCTGAAACAATCTAGATTGACTGTCAGGTTCTGTCGCCTATCTGCTTTCGGCCACCCCTCACTGTACATTGGTTTTTGACTGGCAAACCCTATCAAAATTTTCTGGCTACACCTCTGGCTGTTGTTAGAACTGGCGCATGGTTGGTACGAAATGCCTAACCTGCCCTGTGCGGTAGCATACCTCTAAAATCTAAAACCTTCAGGAATCACATAGTTAGCTCTAAGACGCCCTAAAAGATGAAATTAACTGTTTTGTTCATGCTATGCTCTTGTAGCTTTAGTCATTTCCTATCATTGAGCAGGAAAAAGAGCCACCTGCTCATAATTTAAAGAGAATAGTCTGCCAGGAGGCAGATTATTCTCTGGTTTAATTAGTCCAAAGTGTTAAAAGGGAGTTTTTCCTCTCCACTGTCGCTACAAGCATGCTTAGTGTGAGGGATTGCATTTGAGTCAATGAGTCGATGCGATCAACTGGTTTTCTTAGATAGAAAACTTTGAATCAATTTGACCGTATGATCTGGTGAACTGTAAAGTGCCTTGAGATGACATGTTGTGAATTGGCACTATATAAATAAGCTGAATTGTGTTCACTCTGGCTTCATCAGGGTGTGATAATTTTTCCCTTTTTTCATGAGTGTTGATGTTGGAACGAACTCTGACTGGATTCTCTTTGCAAGTCAAAAACCTGTGGATTTGCTAACTGACATTGTATTCATGTTTGAAAACAACAAATAGGTATTTTCTTATTAAACGTGTTAAAAATGTTAACAATCATCTTAACAAACAGACTCACTGAGATAACAAAAAGTTCAAATGAATGATTATGCCTAACGTTTTCCCACTTTATATTCTCTATCAATATGGTTTTATAACTGTCCCATGAGCTCTAACTATCCTAACTTCAGTAGATGTTCTTGTTGTCTTTGAGAACAAACAGAGCACACCAAGGTATATATAACATCCCTAAATGGGGATCAGAGCCAAAATACATATTAGATTAAAATCTGATCCTAAACCAAGGGTTCAATTACCAGAAGAATGGCAACATGTTGTTTTATAAAGGCTGTACACTGTTGGAGAAACGAATAAAACAGCTCAAACCTTTTTTCCCTCCAGTCCCAGGTCCTGAGTTGATCAAATGGGTGGTTGGTTAGACGCAGCACTCCTGGTTTGGTTTTCAACCACAAAATATTTTGGTTAGAAATAATTGTTGTTATTCTTAGTTTTATTCTGCACTGAAAATTGTTAGATTGCAACAATAAAGACGACAAACCAGTCATGTTTAAGGTATACAGACTAGCCCTCTAGTGCAAAGGAAATCTAGCTTTGCAATAGATGTAACACTGGCTCTATCACCATCTGTTTGAATAAAGTGTGACTTACCTAGATCTGGAACTACCTAAAGGTAAAATTTAAATGTGAATAAATGAACTCTCTGGTGAACCCTAAAGTTCCTCCTTTGATCAGATTAGGTTGTTGTAAAGTTCAACATGATGTGCTGTACAGTCTGACCCAGCTGAAACCAAACAAACTGACTCGCAATAAGTCCCCCATTGTTTGCTTGCTTCTGACCCACAGCAGGAATTTGGCTTTTGGTCGTAGAGATAACTCTAAAGTTTCTGAATGTTCACTCAAGATAATGAGTTTATGACAATAATAAGCCTTTTTATTAGGGATGCACGACATAATCGCCCCCCTATCGGTATCGGCCTTAAAACTGAATAT